TTTTCAGCAGCCATTACCCCAGTCTTCAGTGTCACATGATCCTTCAGAAATCATTCTTATATGCCGATTTGCTGCTGAAGAAACATTACATTTATATTTACATTTAGTCATTTAGCAGACGCTTTTATCCAAAGCGACTTACAAATGATGACAATAAAAGCGTCTGCTAAATGACTAAATGTAAATATAAATGTAATGTTTCTTCAGCAGCAAATCGGCATATAAGAATGATTTCTGAAGGATCATGTGACACTGAAGACTGGGGTAATGGCTGCTGAAAATTCAGCATAAACATATATATTCTAAGGCTATTTTACCATACAATGTTTTTTCTTCCTAAAGTAAATAATAAACATACTAAGTAATAAAAAAATAATAATATTATTTAGATTTTTTAAATTCTATAAATATTAGATATTACTTATATCAATAACCAACAACACTAAATATTATAAAGAAATACTATATATTTAAATAAATATATAATTTAATGGACCACAGTGGAATTTCATTTCCCAGAATGCTATATTTAAAGTCTTCAAAATGGAGTCAATCCACATGAAACAGACTATAAGACTGAAATCAAACAAGTTTTCTGTTTTTGCTCATTTTGATGTTGTGTTGGACTAATGAAAGTCCTCTGTTGTGTCTGTGTTGAATTTCTTTGAACTGCAATTCAGTCAATTCCACTTCCTATCATTCCAATTCACATTTCAACTCCTGGATTGAAAGGCACCCGCCACTTTAATTCTAAATTGTGCAAGGTAAATATATTCCCCTCAAGCCAGGATTATCACCAAGCATGCTACTGGCTAATGACGTGTGGTGATGCACAGTATTTCTGATATAAACATGGAGATTTAGGGGAGGGGAGAATATGAAATACAGAAAAATCCACTTACGGGAGGCCCATCAGCCCCAGCCAGTCCATGGAGCCCCTGTTTCCCATTGGGACCCTATAAGAGAGAGAGAGAAAAAGAAAGGATAAGTGAGAAAAGAAGGAAGAAAGAGAAGAGCGAGGAAAAACACACACAATTACTGGTGTGCCCAAGTGATTCGCGGGGCAACTTTTATAAGCAGTTCAATCCTAAAGCATTTCATTATCATCTTTTTCCTCTTGGTAAAGAAGAGATCTAATCATATGGTACGTCTGGAAACACTCCACCACTTCTGGAGTCACATTTCAGACTCTCTGGCCTCCTTCCAGGAGCCCTGAGAAAACGCTTGTCTGAGAGACCAACCAATGACAGTTACTGCATGTGTGTAAGCATATCTCCTGCTTGTCAAAGCATTAGCGAGTCTTGAGGTGTGTGTGTGTGTGTGTGGTTTTCCTCTAGTCAGCATTGATCTGCTAGCAACCTACAGCTTGGAAACCGAGGAGTCTGTTGAATCGTTTATAGGGTTAGGGCAGAAAAACGCCGTCTGTAATAACAAAGACGATGGCTGCCGGGGCAAACTCACTTTCTCTCCAGGTGGACCGATCGGGCCTTGAGGACCAGGCAGACCCTGCAAGACAAGATTTCAGAAGTCAGATAGTACAACATGGGGTCTTCAGGGGAAATCTGATAGTAAAGTTTACATTGGAAAAAGCTGTGTGAGCACCTCTCAGTCAAATCTGAGAAAGAATGTTGAACAGGATACGTTATTCTTGTCTGAATATACGATTTTCCTCATGACTTTTTCTGTCAAATTCTTTTAATGACAGTTTATTAAGCTCCACCTTTAACTGAATACAACAGAAAATGCATAAAAAGAGCATGTAATAAATTGATATATTTCCAATTAAAATAGGAAGTTTGTGTGGGAGATATTAAAGTGGTGGGTCCCCTTTTTCTTTTAAACTAGCCAAAAAGCTATAGCAAATGTACGTCACAGTCATAAACATGATTTGCTAATTGCTAGTAAGTTGTGGGTGGTATTGGGGGAGGGACTTTCTCATTCTGGAAAGCATCTGATTGGACAAAATTCTTTGCAGTACATGAACATGAATCATCTATATTTTTGGTTTATTTACACTGCTGTTCAAAAGTTTGGCGTCAGCAAGGCTGCAGTTATTTGATAAAAAAATACGCTAAAACAGTATATTGCGAATTATTTTTATCTAAAAATAGTTGTTTTCTATTTGAATATATGTTCAAATGTAATTTATTCCTGTGATGCAAAGCTGAATTTTCAGCAGCCATTACTCCAGTTTTCAGTGTCTCATGACACTTTAGAAATCATTCTAATATGCTGATTTGCTGCTTGAGAAGCATGTATTATTATCAATGTTGAAAACAGTTGTGCTGCATAATAGTTTAGTGGATTTATTTTATTTATTGATGAATAGAGGGTTTAAAAGAACAGCATTTATTTGAAATTGCTAAATAAAAGTATTGATTTCTTAAAACAACGGACCTTTTACTGACCTTTTTGAACAGTAGTGTATATATATATAGTGTATCTACAAAAGATTGTTTTTGTCAACTTTTAGGAGTTCAGTAGTGTGTAGATTACTTCAAAGCTAATAGACAAAGACTAAAGGCCACACAAATGTCATGGAAAAAGAGAAGTGAATGATTCTTGATTAGAAAAACACAATCAGATTGTCTGAGAGAAAGACAGAGAGAGTGAGAAAAAGAGCAGACTGACAGTGATCATTCGACTGATACCTACATGTGGACCGGGGTTCCCCTGTTGCCCAGAAGGTCCAGGCTCTCCTTGAGGACCCTGTTAGAACATTTAACAAAAACACTTTAGTACACAACACTATTATTATTCCTACACTTCACTGCTCCACGGAGCCTATGACATTTTATAAAGATATGAAAAACAGTCCCAGTACCTCAAACTCCAAAAACACTCTGCATGTTAATTAAACAACAGACACGTGAAAATTGCAAATCCATCTTTTTTCCATTGGCTGTCCTTCCTGAATTGCACAGCCTACTGTAATAAAATCTATTATAGCAGCTTTAAACCACTGGCAAAGAGGAAGAGACCGAGATAGGTACAAATTTTATTATTTAAAAAAAAAAAAACTGCATAAGAAAGGCAGTTGTAGTTAGAGTGAGACCTTGAGTGAATGGAAAAAAATATCATTTTATATTTATATAAATATATTTATTTATTTTAATTAACTCCAGTGATACTCCTAGTATTTAATGAACCTGATGAGTTTATTTGCTAGCTAAGAAGTTGGACCAAACACTTGTGTATACTGATGTATAACTTTGATCTACATTATTGAATCTACAACAAACACTTATTCATGACATTACATTTACATTTAGTCATTTTGCAGACGCTTTTATCCAAAGCGACTTACAATTAATTCACATGAATGAAATCACAATCAGTTATGTCACTGTTGGGATGGTTTATAGTTAATTCATTTTTGGTTCTTCTTTTTTACATTTTTGTTTTATTTTTACATATTTTGTTTTATTATGATTATTTTTTTTAATCATTCATTTTTCAATCAGTCAATCCCAATGACCAATTTGAATTCTTCACAGACCACAGTTTGTAAACAAATGAATGAGAAACGAATAGAATCATGGTAAAAACATTGCACTGTATGCCTACATGAATCCTACACTTCCTGTCTTGCGTATTTTAGTGGCAGACTTCATGCCTTCTTAATTTCAGCACTTCCAGGTCAAAGATCACCCCCCTGCTGCCACAGTAACAGTGACATTAGCTCTCTCCTGCCAGGCCTACGGTGTTTCTCTCATCTAATAGCCTTATTTAGATATGACCTTCGCTTGGGACAACAAATATGTTTCAGAGAGGTCAGAGGTTGTCAGCAAAAGACAGTTAACCAGGAAACCCCTTCATGAGGTGACCAGAAGAGGCTCTCTGTGATACTGTGATAAGTACACTAATAAAGCAGGGGAGAGAAAGTCTTTACCATATTTCCTTTAGGGCCAGGTGGTCCATCCAATCCAGGAAGACCCTGCATGTGTATAAAACAGAAGTGTTTAGCTGTGAATTTCATGTTATTTGTACAGTTGTAATTAAGCAAGTGTGGTACATACACGCTGTCCAGGGGTCCCAGCAGAACCTCTGGGGCCCAGCAGTCCTCTTGGACCCTGGGAATCAATAAAAGAGGCATGTCATCATGAGAATGAATTAGACCATTATACTGACCTCAAGCCAAAAGACCCCTTGGTGGATAGAGATATGGAGCATGGACCCCTTTTACATATGTGTTGTATTTTGAGTTACAACAAGTACCATATTTATGTATGCTTCTGTAAGAGATTTGGCCAAATGTTCTACTATAAAGAGCCAATAAAACAAACTTCACTGAGGGCTGTGGGCTGAAAGTAAATGTTGCATTATATATAACAATATTATATTAAAATTGACATTTAAAAAAATCACATTCACCTAAATTAAAATTAACATTAACATTAACCCCCTCTTGTGATGTGGCATGGCAGGACAAATCAAAAGGCATCATGGAGCAGCTTTAGCCCGCAGGCCCTGGTTTAAGTATATATTGTGATTTATATACTTTATGATGGTGATTAAACTACAGTATCATTAAAATATTATCATTATTGATGATTCAGATAATTGTACATTTACATTTTTTAAAGTGGAAGGGACAACGAAATATTTTATATATCGATATTATATATTTGTTTAATGCAAATGTAATTTTTTCACTAATTAGTTTGCATACTTGGTCGACACCCTGTATTTACATTGTATAACAGTCACATTTTCAACAGTATGTCTACTTTGTGATCTAGACTGATTAAAGCTTCAGTAATATCTGCATACTGTGTTTTGATCAACTCAGAGAGGCATATTAAAAATTATCTTAAAGGAACAGTCAGCACATAACACAAAGTTTAAGAAAGGACACCCTGAATATGCTTTTGATTGATTCATTCAAAATGGTTTAGAGATAACTATGTAAAACAGAAACTACTGGGTACTTTGGGTTTTTGCTGTAGACCCAAAGGTTCACTACATCAACTGTGGGACTCAATCCAATTAGGTTCCACATCTTCAGGGCTGATTCTGTTATTTGTTAGATTTCTGCTGATGGAGTATTTAGTCAAAGAGAGAGTAAAATATGTGAGACTATTAGTGTGTCGTGAGAAAGAGAGCTGGAGAAAATAGAAAACTGCAGCGCTCCTTTCCTATACAGAGCCATTACCTCAATGAGCAACAAAAACTGAGATCTAAGAGCAGGGTGGGCCGTGAAGAGTGATTATAGTGGGCAGTCATGTTCTTTTAGGCATAAAGTGAAGTTAATCACCCTCGCGTTCTGTCCTGAGAGCCCCAAGGCACATCTGAATAACTCAAAAACTTGCTTACCATTGTTAACTTGATACTTCACTTTTCCTAATTAGGTTATATACTAAATTTTAACTCGATAATACATACCTTACATGAAAAGGTCACATTACTTGTGGTCTTAGACACTTCATGATTTAAAAATACACAATCGTTCAAAAGTTTGGAGCCAATTTTTTTTTTTTAAGAAATCTCTTACACTTACTAAGGCTGCATTTATTTGATCAAAATACGGTAAAACAGTAATATTTGAAATATTATTCCAAATTAAAATAAATGTTTACTATTTGAATACATTTGAATATATAATGTATTGCCATGATGGCAAACATGAATTTTCAGCAGCCATTACTCCAGTCTTCAGTGTCACATGATTCTCCAGAAATCATTCTAGTATGCTGATTTGGTGCTCAAAAACATTTTTATTTTTAAATTAATTAAAGTTGAAAACAGTTGTGCTACTTGATATTTTTGTGGAAACTGTGATTCAGTTTTTTTTTCTCCAGGATTCCTTGTGAATAAAAAAGTAATAAAAAAAATCTATAAATATTAATGTCACTTTAGATCAATTGATTTTTTTTTTCTAACTGACCCCAAACTTTTGAACGTTAGCATATTTAGGATTTTTTATTCTTTTTTTTTTTTTTTTGTATCTTTTGCCAGGGTCAAACCGACTTCAAACAGAAACTACTTCATTATATTATAAACTTATTTCATAAGTCTGTGCCTACACCGTGATGCAAAAGAGGGTTAAAGCTTCAAACAATGTCTACTTAGCTTTGAATAGTTCACATAAAAAATATTTTAAAGGGAAAATATGACAAGAGAATACAAAATGTAAATAGAGATGGAGATGCTTACACTTTCTCCTGGCATTCCTCTCTGTCCAATCTCACCATCCTCGCCCTGCAGACAAGAGCACAAACACACTTGCCAACGTGTCTGCACACACATATGCAAGTACAAATGAATCAAAATAAGAAATTAATCTGTCACTTGGACAAACACACCCTCGGTCCATCCTCTCCTGGAGGGCCTGGTGAGCCGATAGGACCTCCCTCACCCTAAAAGAAAACGAAAGAGATTAAATGACAGAGTAAAGAGTAAATGTATTATTACTGTCCCTGCCTGCCTGCCTGCTTTTGGCTCCATGCATTGTTAGGGCCCATGACCACTATTTATAAGACTGCATCCCTATAAGAAGAGGCTATAACATAGCGGGGCCTGTAATTACCCAGGGCAGGATTAAGAGGACAGCACTTTGGCTGGAAATACACACAGCTCCCTGTGATCTGCGGGCCTCTTTCACTATACTAGCCCAGGCCAAGCAAGCCACACTCTGCTGTGCCTAGCGAGGGCAGCTTTCGTTTGCCAGAGGAACGCAAGCACGCCAAACAACCCCCAGTGCCACTATAATGAGGTCAGCTTCTCCTGCCACTATGACTGTCAGCACGCTAAACAAAACATACAGCGGCAGACACGGAACATTATAAAAATGCACTCGGTCTTGGCAGGAGCCGTTGAGAAGCTTTTCAAATAGAGTTAACGCAATATTAGATTTCTGTAGGAAAACTGCTGCTGAGGAATAAAATGAAACCAGGCAAGAATTGTTCCCATAATCATAAAGCGCTGCTCGAGACAAGCTGGAAGTTTGATAATTGAACATTAAAAATACATTTTTCTCACGGGTGGTGGTCAGGCTTGCGTTCTGCTGTCTAGAACAATTCGCTTTCATTTCAAGTATTACAACAATGAAAGGAAACTATGTATGAGTTTTCTTAAGAATAGCTCAGCACTTACCCTGTGTCCTTTCTCACCAGGAAGACCAGGAAGTCCATCAAATCCTCGGTCCCCCTGTTAGACAGTAATTACAACGAGAATAAAAATAGGGCTGTCAAAGTTAATACCTAAGTTCATGTTTTTATGCATTTATTATGTTACTTATTTCTGCCCATGTATTTTCTTTCAAACTAGGGCTGTGTATTGATTAAAAAAAAAATCTGACAAAATAATTGCATAGCTTGTGTGCGTGTGCACACTTAATTGGACCTAAAAATAAATTTTTAATCACAAATGCTATTTATTATAAATATATTTACACAATACATTTCCAAATTAATGTTAAAAAATTAGGTATATTTAAAAAAATATTTCATGCCATCTTCAGTCATCTTATATACAGGTGCATCTCAATAAATTAGAATGTCGTGGAAAAGTTAGTCTGTGTGCATTGAATTTATTTAATACACGAGTTTCACAAATTGAGTTGAATTACTGAAATAAATTAACTTTTCCACGACATTCTAATTTATTGAGATGCACCTGTATATAAAAAACAATACATCTGACTTTTTTAATTTTTTTTTTTATTTCTGAGGATAAAATGGCCACTTACAGCAATTATAATCAGACCAATGTTTTTGTTTGGTAACACTTTAGTGTAGGGACCAATTCTCACTATTAACTAGTTGTTTATTAGCATGCCTATTATTAACATATTGGCTGTTTATTAGTACTTATAAAGCACATATTCTGCATGACCATGATGCATGACCTACCCAAACCTAAACTTAACAACCTCCTTATTAACTATTAATGAACAGCAAATTAGGAGTTTATTGAGGCAAAAGTCATAGTTAATGGTTTGTTAATAGCGAGAATGGGACCTTAAAATAAAGTGTTACCTATTGTTTATAATTTCCTTGTTACTAAGTCAAACAAAAAAATGAGTCTGATAATTTAATAATTATTGTTATAATTCCACAACATTATCAATCTTATAACAACCTTTAATTTAAATTATTATTTTAGCTAGTAGAGATAAACAGAATCAGTAATTATATGACCCAGACACACAGTAACAAACACTCCCACTCCCAGTTTTCAGTACAAAAGAAGCAGTTCTGAAACCTCAATCAGTGCTAACTGTGTTTTAAGTAGAGGTTTTAAGTCAGAGGTGATTTTACCTTGGCTCCTGATTCTCCAGGAATTCCTCTGGCTCCGTCGGCTCCATTTCGGCCCTGTAAAACCAGGTTGCATCATCAGCCTGATGCTGCAGGTTAATGTGCTTAACATATGTTTTAAACAACTGCAGAATTAATGTGAGACAGGAGATGATGTGAAGAGAGCGCGTACACACAACCTAAATAAGGTGTGTTGAGGCTACAGCACGTTTGGGGATTGAGTTATTGTGGCAATTTGACTCATTTATAACCAAACTGTGAATAAACTGTGTCAAAGGAGAATCTGAGAAACGTTTGGCATTAAAACTGGCAGATGTGAATGTGAATCCAGCAGACATATGTCATTCAGTTAAGCTGAAACAGGTAAATTAAGGTCAATGCTAATAGACACAGACAGTTTCATGGAAAATCTGGTGCGCGGTTGGAGAGTGAACAGTGGGCTTCTTGCGTAGAGCCTTTCAGCTTCACTTTGCCTGAGTACTTCAGCAGCAGTGTTGCAGATGTATTATGTATGTCACCTTTTTGCTTTTTCAATGTCATGCCACAATCAAACACTACCAATTCACAGCATGAGCAGATTTTTCCTATTCTTACCCTCTTGCCTCCTTTTCCAGGTGGTCCAGTAGCGCCCTGAAGTCCTCTCGGTCCCTTAAAAACACACAACATTCTTTAATGAAAGCGTACTGCTAAATGACAAAGCAGTGTTGAAAATTAAGTAAAAACAATTGTTAAATCGTTACTTTTTACGTGACATAACACTTAAAGCCTAATAGTTCTTCCTCACCGTAGCTGACTGAGACTCTCTCTGCTCCAGAGTAGAAGCGCATGTTTTTTACATTAGAAAGTGCTATTTCATTGCGGACGAGTGTTTACCCCTTCAGCATATTTCACATTCAATTGCATATAAGCTATACCATGAAAAGAAGCATGCTAATTGTTATGACAGCGTTAAAGTTTATGGCGGCTGCACCTGTGGGCTCCGAGGCAGAGCAAAACTCTGACGTAACACCCTAATTCAGTTAATTAATCTGCAACAGATAAGGACTACAACTGGATTCACCTTTGAGGGTTTATTTGTCATTTAAAATCAGCATTTTTAGAAACATTTTTTTTTTCGGGGTGGGCCTAAAGAAAACAGTCACTTAAAAGCATGATGCACATCTTTAACTACAATATTTAATCGAATGCAATGCAACTTAAAGGGATTGTTCACTCGAAAATGAAAAGTCTGATGACAGAACTATGGCTTTTAATATACATCTAACTATCTTAACTCTGCGGGCTCAAATATTTTGTCGCATTATAAATGTCTTTACTATCACTTTTGTTCAGTTTTACTGCATTCTTGCTGAATAATAATATTAATTTATTTTAAAGAATAAGAATAATGATCAGATAATGAGTCTCAGGAATACTCATATCATTGTTCTAATTAGGATTACAATTAGGATTAAAGCTATTTTTAAACAGGTTGTTAAAAAGAGACATAGTCACCTGTGGGCCAGAATCTCCACTTTCCCCTTTAGCACCAGGTGCACCAGGACCACCCTGAAACACACACATACATACACAGATGAGTTTTACGTCTCACACACCTCTCTAAACACTAATATCATATGCGTGGAGCTGTGTTTGGGTCACACTCTGGCTACCCAAACACATTCCTCTGCCATTGCTTTTAAAGGGCATTTGATTTGGAGGCAGCTGTGGAAAAGAATGAGAGAAATTCTAGTGGCATTCTTGGTATTATTCATCTCAAGAGGATGAAATACAGAAACACAAATGTGACAAAAGAAATCTGAGACGGGAACGTGAAAACAAACAGCAGACAGCTTGAAAGCACATCAGCACCGAAGAACTGTTCATTTTCTGGTCATAAATCATAGCGAGATGAAAGCAACACATGTTCCTATCGGTGTTTGTGTGATGTCAACTGGAGGAAGTTGGGTTTGAAAGGAAGACATGGGAAAAGAAAAGAGACATTCATGAAGGTAAATCTTGCATGTATGTGGCTTTTAGATCGTGTTTATTTGATGTGCTCTTCTGTGCCCCTCATCTACATAATAATAATAATAATAATAATAATATTAATAATAATAAAAATTAATTAAATGCATTTAAATTGAACAAGCATCACACTTTTTGTTCACAGCTGAATTTCACTGTGTGCAATATATATATATATATATATATATATATATATAGGTTTGTAAAATTGTATATTTAATTTAATTGTATTAATTTACATTGAAAATTATTAATGTTTTCCAAATACAAAATAATAATAATAATTAATTAAACACATTTACATTGAATAAGCATCACAATGCCTTAACTTCTTGTTCACAACTTAATTTCATTATGTGCAATATATTTATGTTTGTAAAACTGTTTATTAAATTAAATTTAATTAATTCACATTGAAAATTATTAATGTTTACTAAAATCCAAATATTAACAATAACAACAACAACAACAATAATAATAATAAAAATTATGAATTAAACACATATAAATTGAACAAGCATCACAATGCCTTAACTTCTTGTTCACAACTTAATTTCATTTTGTGCAATATATTTAGGTTTGTAAAACTTTGTAAAAATTACATTTAATTCATTTACATTGAAAATGATTCATGTTTTTTAAATACAAAAATGCATACTGTCACAGAAACATTGGCAACTGATTAGAAACATTTTTTAAATCTAACGTCACCTATTCATGAAATTTATTTCATATGTTTTTTATAGATATATTTTGCTTTATATAAATATATCTCTATTTCTTGTTGCATTACAATTACTTACCAACGCTTACCCAGCAAATGTTGGGTAAAAAGCTTGTAAAAATAAATTCAACATATGAATGAAAGTGGTACAGTAGTAATAGAACATAGTTTTATTTTGTTGAAAAGAAATAATTTTGTTTAATGTTTTCCTTAAATGATATAGTCATTATTAAATGTCACTTAGAAATGGGACACTCACCACAGGGCCGGAACGTCCTGTCAATCCCATTGGGCCAGGTGGTCCCCTCATAGTCAACTGCAGCGACAAAGTAAATGGTCAAAAAAAAAAAGTTTGCAAACCTGACATTAACTGCAGTAGAGTACATAAGTTGTGTTACTGGCAACGTGTACATTTCCATGTAGCATACAGTGTTATGAGAACTATAAACCTGTCTTAGTTTTAACAGTCCCTTTAAACTTGCTCATATACATTCTCTGCACCTAACACGTTTCAGCCAAAAAAAATAAAATAATGAAACAAGGGTACACACCCGAGCCTGGGCGAGGATGGCTTGGGCCTGAGCTTCTTGTGCCGTCACCACTGGACCTTTGTGAGCTTCTCCACCAGCGCGGAACTGTCAGAGAAACATCCACAAACACAGAAATCGCAAGTTTATTTCAGTACTTTTACTGCATGCTGGAATTTAGAGGGGCCACTGGAGACACTACAACATAAAGTGGCCTCAACGGTCTTGTCATTATGGCTTTGCATCTGGGCTGCAAAGTGCCAGTTTGTGTAGAGCTAATGTAGACTTTTGGGTGTAGCGTGGGTGCAGTGGGCTTACGGGGTGGGGTTAGGGCTTTTCACAGCTGTAACAATTCATAACCTGCTTGGACGTTTACAATGATAGTAATTTGTCCAATGTTAGAGGAAGTGGCCATTTGCAGCTGATTTTGAGATAAGTTCAGTGGTTTCTCTAAGATTGCGGGCTGGAAAATCTTGTCCTTAATCAGAATCATTGGAAATGTATGGGTTGGACAAGCTTACCGGCAACATGAGGATGGTGCCAGAGGGCCCCGGAGCTCCATCTGCGCCTGGCAAACCAGGACGACCAGGAGGGCCCTGAGAGAAGAAGAGAGAAGGATAAAAGAGGGAGGGAAAACAGAAGGAAATGAGCCATAAAGTGTGTGGGAAACGAATGTGTAAATGGCTGTAGAAAAAAAGACAACTATAGGCATGGAAAGAGAGATTGTTTCTTTAAAGTTTAAAATACAGGAAAAATACTGTAGGATCATTTTAAATCGTCAGTTAGGTCACCTAAATCAACTCAAAATCCCTAAACAGTTCACAAAAACAAAACTTGACTAAACAGTTTAGAGTCGCAAATTGCACCTAAACTGCAGGAGATTTCTGCAGCGTTCCTTACGCCCAAAATCAAAAATAGCTAATGTGCTAAAGCCCCGTCATTATCCCATAATAATACACTTAGGTTTATTTCGCTTTATATTTATACTGCGGTTTATGTATGTTTTGTGTTGTTTATAGTTCCTTTCATTGCGCTGTTTATTTGTGTGTGTGCTCGTCATGAAACTGACACCCCACAAGAAAAGCGGGGAGGACTACAACGCATGCACTCATATGATGGAATGCTGCTAGGGTAGTTTTGGGAAGAGATCTCTTTAGCAGGCATGTCACGCTCCTCTTGTAGACGGCTCACTTTAAATTGTTCCCATATGACGGTGTAATTGTGTGAGTGCGTGTGTGTGTGTTTTAAGGCTGGGCAAACGTCCTTTCTATGTAACATATACACTGACACCTAGCGCACATGTGCTTCTGAATATAAATCAGGGAGGATGTACTACTGGCCATCGAGGGAAGTGGCCGTCATTGTTAATTAAGCATTTTCGGCTACATAAGAGGAGAAACTGATGGAGATCAAAGCGAGCGGGAAATCGCTTCCCCTCACAGACAAAAAGCCCTTTGTGCTGGAAGACGCAGGTCAATGATGGTGTGAGTGCTGTCCGTTTCCTAGAATGCACTGCAAAGGCTAACTCTGCAGGAGGTTAAGAAGAAGAAGCCAAGCTGCACCACCATAAAGAGGAAAAATATCCAGCTCTTCTCTGTGCAGTAATCAACAGAGAGCATTTACAATTCTGAAAAATGGTGCGAACAGCACCAAACATAAGAATCTATGGGAGAATGAGTATGTGTTGATGTGTATGAGAGGTTATAAGCTCTGCTGCTCCTCTGGAAGTGTTATTAGAGTGAGGATTTATAGGCAGATCTGGTTTCAGCGTGGCCTCTCAGGTTTTTGTAATATGCACACATCTGCTCGTTTACATGCCGCTTGTCATTGGCTTATTATCTCGATGCTTTAAACAATGTAAACTTTACCATTATCTTTATGTGGAAGTCTAACTCCTCTAATAAAGTGAGAAAAGGATTGTGAAAGTTCCGACAGGGATACAGTTACCTATAACTGGTGTATATACGTGAATAAGATATTTTAACACCACAAACAGGATTAAGAGATAGTAGGTAACCCATATGAGGGATGATTTTTTGGGAAATGTCAACTTACCCTCTCACCAGGATCTCCGTAGAGGCCTGAGGAGCCTTGTATACCTGGAGTGCCGGGGAGACCCTGACAAAAAGTACATGCGAAGCGTCAAAGGCAATGTAACATAGACAGAAACACACTATGCTGCCATTTTCCATAAAGTTAAGTTTTCCTATGGAGTTTCACCATGTGTGAAAAGAGTGCGGAACAAGGTGATACTCACAGGGGGACCTGGTGGTCCTGGGGGTCCCTCTACCAGCATCCCCTGAAAAGAATTGGAGGGGAGAGAGGACGAAAAACATGAGTTCGGTAGCATGCTGGGCAGGCCGTAAATCTCACAGTATGAGCAGTACGGAAATAAAAAGAAAATCAGTGAAGAGTGAAGAGGAACCCAAAAGATGTGGTTCATTTAGTCCAACTGAACCAATCGCCTTTTTTCACTATTCAAGAAAAGCGAATACTGCAACTGCTGTCAAAATCAGATGAATAATACGGTGACATTTGAAAGTATTAATGTAAGAATAGTTTTTCCTGGACTGCTACCATCTTCCCTTTCCTGTACAACTGTACAAAGAATAAGTAGATGGGAGGTATGACTACACTGGCATATTACAGCTCCAAAATGTAGGATGCATTACATTGATCAAAAGCGATAGTAAAGACTTTTACATTGTTACAAAAATCTAATAAATGAAAAAAGCAACAGCTGTTTTCAGCACTGTTATTAATAAGAAATCATTCTTGAATTTGATTTCTCGCATGTGACACTAAAGACTGGAGTAAAGGCTATTGAAAATTCAGCCTTGCCATCAAAGGAATAAAATAGTTTAAAATATATTAAAACAGAAAACAGTTATTTTAAATTGTAATAATATTTCACAATATTACTGTTTTTTTTTTTACTGTATTTTTGATCAAATAAATACAGCCTTGGTAAGCATAAGACTTTAAAAAAAATAATTTAACATTTAAAAATACTCCCAACTTTAAACTTTTGAATGGTAGTGTATATGTAAGGGATAATTAATGGCTTGCCGTGCATTAAAGGATTTTAAATGTGGAGTGACGTGGAGGCCAATTGAATTATGAAATTAATTGCCTCCACAATTAATTATTGATCGATCGATCGAGAGAGAGAGAGAGAGAGAGAAAGAGAGAGAGAGAGAGAGAGAGAGAGAGAGAGAGAGAGAGAGAGAGAGAGCGAAAGAGATGACAGTTGTGTGTGCTTTACCTGCATGTGTCAGCGCATCTCTCTCTACAAACAATTAATTACTTCAAAAACAGCGCCACCTCGTTGCTGAGAAATATAATGTAGTGATCTTGTATCCAGGCTATTTTATTAATAAAAATCATGGGGAAGCGTTGACAACAAGTTTATGTGTGTGCACAGCACAATCTGCAATCTCCGACTCTCTCTCCTTCTCTCTCTCTCTCTCTCTCTCTCTCTCTCTGTGTGTGCGAGTGATGTGTGTGGGTTTGTGTGCATCAATTGAAGCAGTGCATTAATATAGAACGGTGATTAAACGGACTTGGAACTACCTGTGCATTAAATGGTTTTACTGCATACCTGCCAGCCAATCAGAATCCAGTATTCAGACAGACCATGAAGTAAATAGTAATATACAAACAATTATTCATTTTATTTGGTCACACTTTATTTTAAGGTCCAATTCTCACTATTAACAAACCTTTTAATATGGCATTTGCCTCAATAAACTTCCAATTTGCTGTTTATTAATAGTTAGTAAGGTAGTTGATAAGTTTAGGTATTGGGTCAGATTAGGGTTTTAGAATATGGTCATGCAAAATATGTGCTTTATATGTACAAATAAACAACCAATATGTTAATAATAGGCATGCTAATAAGCAACTAGTTAATAGTGAGAATTGGCCCCTACACTAAAGTGTTACCTTATATTTTGGGGTTAATATAATGTTATATATATAACTGTTTGCTGTCTGCAACATTCTGAACTGACACACTACTGAAGGGAAAAATATGATGCATTATTAGTAGCTGCATTTCATTTGGTACTTGTAAAAGCTTCACGCAGAGTTTACCTACCGGCTCAATGACTGCAGGTTCACCTTTTTGCCCCTTTTCACCACCATAGCCACCACCAACCTACAACAGAGGCAAAACAAACTGAGATTTAATGACAGAGGAAGTACTACTCATGTAGACCAAACAGCTGTAAAACAGCACATTAAGCACTACAGCTAATGCCCAAAATGGACTGTATAACCCTATAAAGCCAAGTGGTGAACATGCTCAGTGATTACTGTGAGGATGATAAGAAATGAAGTGTGAACTCCTCCATCTTTTCCTATAACGTCCACTTATAAGACCCACAGGGAAAGCCATTTGACAATATTTATACAGTCATTTAACACAAGTATCAAATCCAGCCCATTAGTGTGTGTGCATATGTGTTTTGTATTTGTGGATCAGGATGATATATCTCTCCAGGAATGAAGAAAAGGAGCACAAAGCCACTGTGGTCAGTGTGTGTCTGTGTGAACGAGTGCTTGTGTTGAGCTGTGAAAATAAGTCTCAAGTCTTATAACAGATCAACACTGCAATCACACAGCTAACATTTAATTTCCTGTCTCCCACACACCGCAAGCAAAACGGCTACAATTGAGAGACTTTCATGTGTTGCTGTGTCAGCAGACATACTGAAACATAGTAAGGTTAATGGACATTATTCCTAGTAATTAGGAGCATTAGAATTACAGTTTTGTGTGTTTGCAATAATAATAAAAATAAAAACATCCTTGACATTCTCTTGCCACACAATTGACTTGTTTTTCAACATAAAGATGGAGAAGTCAACTCACATTGCTCTCTGTGACCTGCGTTTCAGCAGGTCGGCCCGGTCCAAACTCGCTCTCGTAGGTTGATCCGGTGGGTTTAGCTCCATTAGTATTGTAGTCATAGAACGAATCTTCATAAATGCTGGGGTCTATCTCTTTTGTATCATATTCGTTAATGTCGTATTCCTTAAAGTCCTGGTTTTCTGCACCATTAGTGCTTTTGGACTCCACAATATCCACATTCTCATTGGTGGCAACGGTGGGATCCACTCCAACTTCTTCTATCCCTGTAATGTAGTCGTCTACTATTTCCTCTTTTGGAGATGGATTCTGCCCAGCCCGGGGAGGCAGGAAGTCAGCGAATGAAGGGAACAGGGAGGTTAGTCAATGCAGACACCTAATCAAACTAATGAACTCATTTAATGAAGCTCTACAGGTGAAAATACAATTGCACTGGCAAAGCATAATTTTAAATGGGATCATTTTAGACATCCAGTAAGTCAAAAAATATGAAAAAATTCTGCGTCAATTAAGTAAAGCAAAAAGAATGTGTTTATAATTGGGTGCGTAGATTCAATCAATAGAAGACAAATACAAAAAGCCAAGGCAAAAAAAATTCCGCACACCAAACGAAATGCAAAGTTCAAGGTCCTTTGAACAAGAACAGGGTGCGAACTACGGGGGAGCTAGAGGGAGCTCGGCTCCCCTTATCCTATATAGTGCTTGCATAAAGCAAGTAGTGCATACACTAGCTGTTATGCATCTTTGTAAGTCATTGTAAGCCCACGCGCAAGCGCACGACCCCCCCCCGTTATAAAAAAAAAAACATGTGGGCTCCCCCAAAGTCCACGGTATAGTTCGAACACTGAACAAGAGTATGTTCCTGAAGATTTACATAGAGGTGACAACAAAAACTAAAGTGCACAAAGTGCTCACTGAAGATAGTCCTGCCAGGACTGAAACGTTTGTTTTTTTGTTTGTGCACTTTAGTTTTTGTTGTCACCTCTAGGTAAATCTTCAGGAACAAACTCTTGTTCAAAGGACCTTGAACTTTGCATTTCGTTTGGTGTGCGGATTTTTTGCCTTGGCTTTTTGTATCATTTTAGACATGACAGTGTGTAATTGGTCTAATTTCTGTTATATGCCAAATATGATATGCCCTTACAAATGTACAATATATATTTAAAAACCTGCTTTGTTTGTCAATAAACTACATGACATTTAAGTAAAAAAAAATTTGATTCATATCTATTTATATTATCTATTTATAATAATAATAGTAATAATAATAATAATAATAATTCATATTTGTTTCATTAAAATATATATGAATGTCAGTATATAATTATACATTTTATATGCATAAACAAATTATAATTTTCAAATTATATGCCATTTAGTTTATGATATGGCCTTACAAATGTACAATAGATATTTAAAAAACTGCTTTCTTTGTCAATTAATTTAATGACATTTAAGTAAAAAATGGATTCATTTCTTTTTATATTATCGATTTATACTACTACTACTACTACTACTACTAATAATAATAATTCATATTTGTTTCGTTTATATATATATGAATGCCAATACATACTTATAAATTTGATATCTATAAACAAATTATAATTTTCAAATTATATGCCATTTAGTTTATATTGAAAGTGTCAACAAGTGTTCAAGTACTTTTTGGGGCAACTTTATGTGACAAACAACTATAACATTCAATATTTTACCATTGCAGTGAATAGAAACCTACAATCTGAATCGTTTTGGTAAATAAAAATGACAAACCACAACAGCCTTGCATGTGATAATGCTGCACTGGTTTCATGTCTTACTTTGTACATCCTATGCCTTCCAACTTTTTTTTTTTTTTTTATACTGGAAAACTATTTTGGCTTTAAGTCTGACAGCTTTCCTCACCCAGGGGCCTTTATGCAGTGAACAAAAGTACTTAAGATTTCTCTAGTTAATCCCAGCCTTTGTATTGTATACCAGGAGTGCTTTACGAGGCTGCGTCAGCCCATGTAGGTGTATCCTTTGAAGCAGACGTTTGGCCATCACTAAATGCAAGACATATTGTTCCAGTTAAAGCTGGATGTTCTTCATTTAGACTTCATTTGTGCGATGTCTTAGAACAAACTGTGACAGAATCATCAAACTATTGAAATAACATAAATAAGGAAAATGCTATGATTTCACTGCTTTCTGCTGAACGTAAAGCGTTACATGGAATAGTGGTTTTTATTCGACTTTTACCCATAAAAGTCAGACTGAGGTACAACCATTCGGTAAAGAAAAAACACCTCAAATGTGGATGATTTTCTACTTTTCTCTCATAGCTTAGTAATAACATGATCTAAACATAGCAATTATTTACATTTATCAAAAAATAAGGTGCAAAATAATACTATTATAAAGTCAGAAAAGCTTTACCAAAAGAATGCTATTTAAAAGAAACCCACTTAAAATAGACAATGGAAAATAAAAATTAGGAGCATTCAGATCTTTACCTCATTGGCTGGAATGATAACAGAAGGGGCTTCAGTGCCATAGTCCTGCTCAATATAGTAGTCTCCAGTGTCAGCAGTGCTGGGCTATATCACACAAGAGATTCATCACTCAGAATGAAGAAAAAAAAAATCTAATGTTGAGATGTGAATGTTCGTTTATTGTTCATTTTAAAACAACTGCTTATTCTTAGCTGTTTATAGCCGAATTTGAAATATGAGCAGTTCAAGTGCAAGTAAAAGTTAGATTTGGCAAGTGAATAACAGCTGGCCGGTAACTTTATTACATATTTCAACACAATAGTGGATGATTTAAATCACTCTGAAAGAAATCAAACTGTCTACAAATGGGGGGAAAAAATCTCAGTGTAACATTTATAATCAAAAATTGATAGGATACATTGAGTTGCACTGTTTGTCTACATTTATTTTGTCTCTATGACAGTGGAATTATTTCTTGATAAACACAATATGAAATACAGTTTCATGCATGGTCAATACATTTTCTCAAAATCTGCAGGTCTATCAAAAAGTTACATTCGGAGCCTGTATTTGAATGAAAGTGATGGCACATGAGGAGACAGAAAGGCAAAGTGACTGAGAGAACAGAACAGTGGAGTGTGAGAGTTGGGGTAGTAAATCTATCCACACAGTGTGGAAGTGGGCAGGCTGAAGAAAATCTCACAGTGATTGACATGCACCTGGGCCATACATATGAGCAAGAGTGTTTTACCTTGGTCTTAGTACCAACATTGTCAGTGGGATTTTCAGTGGCAGTCCCTTCTTCTGTGTAGTCATAGAACTCATTATAATCTGTGTATTCAGTATTGTACTGAGAGAAAGAGATGGTTGCATGTTAGAAAGAAAGAATTGAATTCAAAGCCCTTACAGAGTCCTCAAAACACATCTGAACACTTTTTGAATATCTGATATATATATATATATAAAAGTGTAAACAATAGATAAAATATCAAAACCATTTAACTTTTTTTTTTGAAAAATGTCTGTACTTTTTATTATTTAATAAACACCACTTTATTTGATATTTTGTTAATTAATGCAACAATGTTCATACATTTTTAAGTGTGGCTACATTTTTAAGTGTTCAAATGCTTTTTGGGATCACCGTACCAAGGGGAAGATGCATTGTAGCATACATTATTGGCATATCACATATAATACAAATATAAGAATATAAATCATGCAAAATGTGCTTAGGTATGCCGTTGACATGATGGGTGATCAGTGAACTACAAAACCCTTTTGTAGTTTAAGTATTTGAGAACTTTAATTTCTTTGACCTTCCCATCCATTTAGACCATCAAATCAGTAATGTCAAAAGGCTTAGTTTGATTTGATGATTTACATGACATATTTTTACACATAGGTATTAATCTAACTGTATCATTTAACAAATGGTTTTTTTATTCAAAGCATTTTATGGTACAAAAGCACAAAATAAATGCTTTGAGTCCAACTGGGCCTCATTCATGAAACACAAGCAGAATGAATTTCTGAAACATTAAATTCCATTATCTGAATACAAATCTCATGAATGTCATGAATATAATAATGCAGTTTACTAGTGTAACTATCCAGTGCCATCCCTACTGGAGATTAAACCTGTAATCTTTTTTTTTTTTTTAAGATAACAAGCATTAACACTGTGCCCAAAATAAGCAATGAGTAACAGTAACATGTAATTAGAAGAAAGAGACATAAGTAAACAGTACAAAGTATTCTTGTCGCCAGTGAGAATGAAATGAAAATTCAACCTCTATAAAACATAAAAATGCACTTCAAATGTCAGATCATGTGAGTATGTGATAGTGAAAATGCAAAAAAAAAAAAAGTGTCTTAAAGGGTATTAAAATAATATAATAAGACTGCCTGCTAATGCTCTACTTTATATCATAATTTTGAGCCACGTGCCATATCACTGTAAAACACTCCACTGGTCCACTGGTATTCCACTGGTACTGTAGTTAAATGTTCAATATCCAAAGAAGAGAATCATTGATAATTACCAAAAAAAATAAGTAATATAGTTCAATATTGCCAATGATTGTTGGTATCACTGTACATTCTGGCACGTTGATGCAGAACATATAGTAATGCTAAAATAAAATGAACTCAGCAATTAGCGTGAAAATCCTGTGCCGTTTTTTTTTTTTGAGTGTAAAGTTAAACAGAGCTCATGGTATTCACTGTGTATGTTACACATGGCAGTTTGCAATTTATAATTAATTTATTGGATAATTCTGTTTCTTATAAAGCGTGCAAATTAAATGTTACATTCCTAAGCCACTTGCACACAAACAGTTTTTGAAAGTTGTTAAGCACTTAAATAGCAGTCAATTTAACAATTCAACAAAGAGCTATTGTTAAGTCCTTCCCAATAATAAATGACTTACGTTGTTTATGACAAATAAGCAATCATACACATACGTTTCCAATTCTCTGCTTGTTTTCCTCTCTAATTGTAATAAGGTGCGTGAGCATAAGGTGAGGTATAGTAGATTGTAGTGGTATAGCAAGTTATCAGGCATTCTGTGATGTGCCTTTGTCCATCAGAAAGGGATGAATTTAAGTCCCTATGCATCAGCTGAGCTAATAAAAATAACAGAGAAAAAATAACTGAGGCCTGGTGGACTGGCTGCATTCCACTGGCTGCAGAAGAGAAGCGAAAAAGGAGAAATATCCAGCTGCGAGTCGGTTTACGGCATTAAAGGGTCTTGCCAGGCTTGGAGCCTGCCATGGCTGTAGCCAGCGAGCTGGATGAAAGGCATAAATATCGTCCTGGGCCATTAAAAACGCATCCCCGTTTCCCACACGTGTCTTAAAGCATTTGGTACGGCGCAAGGGAGCTCCTTGCAGGGGAAAAGAACGGGCCTGCGTCCAAAGTTCTCTGCTCTTCCTAAAAGATATAGATGTTAGGCTGCTGATGCTGGACTGAGTTACAGCACTAGTAAATTAACACGGATTATAAAGCTATATATCATCTGCTTTTAAAAAGCTGACTATATAGTTGTTTAATTAGTTTTTCCCTCTCTGTATTAATTCACTGATTTCTCCATTGGTTTTGCTCTGGCATCTTCCACGATACGTGAAGCTACATTTTCCATCCACTGGTGTGGTGTAGTTCTCAATACCCCAAGCAGCCGTTACAGTGATTTATCATCATGTTACAATCATGAGTTCTTTAACAGCTGAGAGACATAACTTCACTTTTCCAGGTATTCCAGAGTTAGCTGTGGAGGGGGAAACTAGGCTTTTCCCAGCAAGCATGCAGGAGTCATTAAAGAAAAATATATTTCCACGCCACTCAAAAGTGGGCTCAGACTCTGTGGCAGGGGGAAAAATAGTTTCCACCGTGAGCTCATTGGTTATTCTATGAAATATTATTGGAAAACATTGAAGCATTGAAAAAGCTTAATATCAAAAACCAGACAAAACGCACTATTTCAATTTGGGATTAGCTGAAGAGTTTAATCCCTCTAGATCACACTTGTTATTCACAATAGGTTCCGTAAGGACAGTTTGTTCTGACCTGCAGCTCTAATAAAACATTCTGTACCACAATAATAGACTGAATAAGAGGGGTGGACATTTAAAATATTTTTTTTAGTTGATTACTCTAACTCATAAAAAATGTAAATACTAACATTAGTATGACAAATGTGAATATATGTAAAAAATAAAAAATAAATTAAATTATTTACAAATATAATAAAATATATTTGTAAATATATGGAGACCTTCCCTCACCTTGCCATCAAGTATTCACAGCGCCACCTAATGCATTTATTTGTAACACTGATATTTAGATGAGACATTTATTGGAAAAGTATCTACTTCCGGTCTTTCTGGATACGAGGCAAAAGCACCAAAGGAAATCAATTTGAAGAGCTTGAACAGTGTTTTTACTAGAAAACTAGTTGTTGCAGAACAAAAACCCAACTAGGAGATTACTCTTATATATCCCTACTAAACACTGATGGATAATTCAGATATTTGGCAATGTTTTTGAATCCAGGCCTAAGAAAACCCCAGACAGAAGCTGTGGGTGTAGACCGTATATAATCCATTAATACATCATCACACAACCATACACACAAACACACACAACACACTCGTCTGGGTCAGATCCAGACACGTACTGACCTCTTCCTCAGGTTCCTGGGCCTGTGGTGTCTCTTGATGGGGTGTTTCACAGTCAGGGCTGTAGTGTTCACAGTAGTCATAGGCTGCACGAGCATCTGCCACCAAAAGAAGCTGCTGGATGTCTCCCTGAATGACATCACAGAGACATTTATCAGAAATATACTGGATGTCTATAAATAAAAATGATATATGCCATTTCTAGACAGACAGACAGAAAGACAGACAGACAGACAGATAGACAGATAGACAGACAGACAGTTAGATAGATAGACAGACAGACAGACAGATATACAGACAGACAGACAGATAGACAGACAGTTAGACAGATAGACAGACAGACATACAGACAGACAGACAGACAGACTGACAGATGGACAAATGCACACACAAACAGACTAACAGAAAAGAAATATCTGAGAAAGCATTAGTACTAATCTGGCACATAACAATGAACAGCTGCACACTGCAGAATCCATCTTTTGATATTGTACTAAATCAAATAAGCATGTGTCTATGTGTCACAGAAAACAATACGCTTGATAACAACGAAAGTATCTGCAGGGCATTGAGCATTAGCCCCTCTTTCTGTCATGAAAGAGAATGATTTCTCTCTTGCTTCTTTCTCAACCTCTCAAAATTTGCTCACAGACAGAAAGAAGGCAGACGTGCTGCTCAGCTGAAAAAACAAGGAAGGACAAAAGCGCTGTGCGAGCACACATCGAAACGGCCACTAATCTGTGTCCCATTCAAAAAGCACTATTGTGCTCCACAGTGAGTCACATTTCACAGAGCGTCCTACGTTAAAGACTGAGGAATGGCAAGAAAAATAACCAGCACCCGTGCTGATGTGAAATATCTGAGGCCGTCTGTTTTTCATAAAAATTTCGGGAAAGGAAATAAGATCCCTTCTCCCACCTCGACACAAAGGCCAAACAGCTCCGTGCACAAGCCGAACCTGAGGAATTCTTCAAGCGGGAACTGTCTGACTCTGCTGAGAATGTAAACTACTGCTGGAGAAACCGCAGAATACCTCTGCTGACCTGCGCAGACTTGGACCCCCCGTGCCATACTGATATAATGCATCGTAAATATGTAAAAAAAAAGTCAAAGAAGGGCAAAGGTAAATAAACACAGATTTCTTTGATTTGATTGGCGTGTAAAGTCGAGTCAAGCGGGGTGGCCTGTGGAGGAGAATGCTAACATGCAGACGACATTAAATTACAGGGTCTACATCTGTAGGAGCTTAAGGCGCTGGAAGACATTTTATGGTACCAAAATGATGCTTCCTGCAAGCATGACCAATAAATCCTTGTACACACTGGAGAGCTCTGATATCCCTCTATACAACAAACATCTCACGATTAAGAACTAACACATGTTTAGGAGCCAAATGCATTTTAAATGCAACTTTATATTTCAAAAAAAGTTGTACAATTAATGTAGGTATAAGAAGAGGTGTTTTTCTCAAAAGCTGTGGCAGAAATCACATATTTAAAGTCAGAATTTCACAGATTTTCCCATACTGTAAAATCAGCACAGAAAATGTAGAAATTTTGCCTAGGCTTGGTCATCTTATCTCATCTAAGGCAATTGTTTTCAACCTTTGTACCAAGGACTCCCAAATATCATTATTACGAGGGACCGAATTCCTAAAATATGAAGACAGCAAGATATTTGTATATGTATAAATATACAGTACATTTTTATTGTGTGAGAAAAATATTAAAGGGTTAGTTCACCCAAAAATTAAAATTAGGCCATAAATTACTCACCCTCAAGTCATCCTAGTTGTATATGACTTTCTTCTTTCAGACGAATCCAGTCGGAGTTATATTAAATATTGTCTTTGATCTTTCAAGCTGTTTAATTCCACTCAGTGGGTGTTGCATGCATCAGTCCAAAAGAAGTTAAATAAAAAAGCGCCCATCCATAAAAAAAGTGTCTCATACGGCTCCGGGGGGTGAACAAAGGCCTCCTGTAGCGAATCGATGCGTTTTTGTAAAAAAAATATCCATATTCAAAACGTAATAATCACTTTAATGTAGCTTGCGCCAACAGTTGTACACGGAAGCAGTTCCGGGCTGATGACGGATGAGGTCAGCATTGCGCATGCGCTGGTGATTCTCGTGAAAACCAACTTTTGTTAACAGGAGCAAAGGAAGCAAAGTTTCCTTACTTTAGCAAAGGAAAACCAGTCTCCTCTATGCTTATATCGAAATCCTCCGACATTCTTCTTTACAAATCGTCGTTTTGTACTTCTGATAAGTGATCGTTGTTTTGTTTTGATCTCTCCCCTGCGCTTCCGCATTCGTCACTTCTGAGCGGCGCATGCGCAAAGCCGACCTCATATGTCATGCTCCCGGAGCTGCTTCAGTGTACATCTGTTGGCGCAAGCTACATTAAAGGGGTCATATGATGCTATTTCAATTTTTCCTTTCTCTTTGAAGTGTTTCAAGCTCTTGGTGCATAAAGAAGATCTGTAAAGTTGCAAAGACTAAAGTCTCAAATCCAAAGAGATATTCTTTATAAAAGTTAAGAGTCAACCACGCCTACCTAAAAC